GAACTTCCTCCCCACAGCAAGATATTTTGTGTTTTTGGTGTATGCCCTGTTACATCATATACCAAAAATCTGTCCCAGACGGTCTTCTGATGTTTTCCCTCCCTTTAGCTGAGATCTGTTCTCACACTGTGAAGAACTAGGAACACTGTGGGATCTGAGACAAAGTTTTCAAAGCCTGGAAACTGCAAAAGCCTATTTTGAGCCATAACAGATGCTGCCGGACATATGGAACAGCTGAGGGGACTTGCACCAGGACTAAAAATGTTCTGCAGATCTTTATATCTCTGTCTCAGTGGGTGGGTTCCCTATGGAACTGGAAACAGGGAAAGGGAGAAGTGGAGATGAGTGCATATCACTAATGTTTATAACTCTCCTCTGAAAAATTTGCTGTTGGGAAAGAGGAATCGCATATTTTGGGTAACATAGCATTCCTGGTGAAAGAGAAGTAGCCTAAAAATCGACTCTGATGTGGGAATGGGGTCATATTGACCTGTGGCTAACTTCAGGCTTGAGCTTTTCCAGCTCTGTATAAATTTGAGTATTTGAGGTCAACATGTAAACTTTTAATTAGTATATTTTATTATCTGCAATGCTTTTATAGACAGCAGAAGCAGTCTGGGACTTGTGAACAAACAGTCTGGTCAATGAATAACCCTGTGCCTCTTTCAGAGCACAGCTCAGCTTTGAGAGTTTGAGTATTCCCAGCCCTGCAGGGATGACCATGGTGGCAATGGCTTGGATCTGCTCTGCACCTGGAAACGTAGCAGTGTGTGCATTATGTGAAGCAGTAGTAATGGAGATGGAGAGGAAACACTGCAGCTGCCTCGTAGGTCCACACATGGATCTGAATTCAGTGGGAAAGGAAAATCTCAGAACCACAGAATCATTAAGTTTGGAAAAGACCACTAAGATGATGTAGTCCAACCTCCAGCCCAACCCCACCATGCCCACTGACCATGTCCTCAATGCCACATCCACACGGCTCTGGAACACCTCCAGGGATGGTGACTGCACCACCTCCCTGGGCAGCCTGTGCCACTGCAGTGCTGCTCTTATGGAGAGGAAATTTTTCTTAATATCCAACCTGAACTTCTCCTATCACAGCTTAAGACCATTCCTTCTCATCCTATTACTATTACCTTGGAGAAGAGGCCAACCTCCAGCTTGCTATAACTTCCTTTCAAGTTATGAGAGTGATAAGCTGACTCTCCTCTTCTCCGGACTGAATAATTCCAGCTCCCCCAGTTACTCTCCATCAGACTTGTGCTCTAGTCCCCTCACGGCTCCATTGCCCTTCTCTGGACATGCTCCAGGGCCTCAGTGTTTTTCTTGTATGGAGGGGCTCAAAACTGAACACAGTACTTGAGGTACAGCCTCACTAGTGCCAAATACAGAGGGACAGTCACCTCCTTACTCCTGCTGATTGCACTATTTCTGATACAAGCTGCAATGCCATTGGTCTTCTATGCCATTTGGGCACACTGCTAGCTCATATTCAGATGCTGTTGACTAGTAACCCCAGATCCTTTACCTCCAATCAGCTTTCCAGCCATTCTGCTCCAGTCCTGTAATGTTGCATGGTGTTGTTGTGACCAAAGTGCAGGACCTGGCATTTGGTCTTGCTGAAGCTCATACAATTGGCCTCTGTCCATTGATCCAGCCTATCCAGTTCTCTGTAGGGCCATCTGCAAACTCACTGAGGGTGCACTCAGTTGCCTTGTCCAGACAGACAATAAAGCTCTTAAACAAGGCCAGCCCCTATACTTACCACAGGGAAATACCACTCGTGGCTGGTTATCATCTGCATTTAACTTCAAAATGCCTAAGAATGAGCATTTCTCTCCTCCTACAATTCCACATCATTGTGTAGCTCATGTTTTGACCACAGGTCTGGCCATATAAGATACCCTGCTGTCTCTGCAGTTCCCTCTCAATCCCTTTTCCCCCATTCTGGTGCCAGTCATTCTTTCACATACAGAGTTTCACCTTCCAAGAACATGTCTGTGTCCCTCACATGTACCTCCTGCTCATTTCATCACACATTTGCAACACAGCTCCACTTTTTATAGGGATTAAGCATGAACAGGTCTCTAACAACAATCCCACAGTCTCACATTCCTCACCTGTCTTCTTTCTACCCTGCCACCTTCTTCCTTCCCTGCTTCTGTGAAATCCTGCTGCATTATTTCATGCTTGCCTTCCCTGTGGGCCATTTGTTCCCCCACAGACTTTCCCAAATCTCAAAGCAGCACCACTGTCTCTTCCCACACCACTGTTTCTTTCCACTAATATCCACTGCATGAGTGATAGTAATCACTGTTACTTGTAGAGGTTTGTCTTGGTCCTCCCACCTTTTCTGGTCCTAGCACACAACTAGGTGTTATTTACACACTATTCTGTACACAGGTACATTGCTCACAGTAACTCAAGAAAGATCAGCTCACCTGCATACTATGGAATTTTTCTCTTCCTGGTCCAACATGCCTGGCTCAGCTGGCAGTCAAACAGCTCTTCTGGTTGCAAGTATACTGTCTTCCTCTCATCAGCATGTCCCATGTAGGGATTTTCCTTTGCCCAATTTGTTGTGGGCTTAATGGCAAATATCAGTGCTACTTGCCTTCCACCACAGAGAAGAGAAAAGATGGTTTCTTCTCTCCAGCACCTCATGCCACAATGTGTTCATTAACTAAATGATCATGCAGGTTGAAACCCAGATGTGTTTGCAGTCTGCCTGAGTGGTGACACTGCCTATGCTGACACACCATGATTCCTTCTCCCACTGATGCTCCAAAACTCAATACCTCCTAAGAGCAGCTCCACAGATTCAGTGATGCATCGCATGCAGTGTACCCAGTTGGACTCTTCAGGCTGTGATGTACGTATACTGAATGCTGCAGTGTCTGCAGCTTTCTGCAGGTTTTAACAGCAGGCCTGCTGGCTGCTCAACAAAGAATCTCTCAGTTTACCCCTTCCTGTTTTACCTTTGTCCTTGTTCAGGCCCACTACTTATCTATACAGAGGCTACCCAGCTTTTCCTGCCCCTGGTCCATTTGGGCAACTGGACTATCCCTGTGATCAGCTTTGTGGGGCTGTATGGCATTGCATACTCATGTTGCTCTCTATAAGCTCTTGCTTGCTGTTGTCTCTGACTCTGTGGAAATGTCTTATATGTGCTTATCATCAAAGCAGGAAGAGCTGCCATTCATTATTTGAATTTACTTCTCCTCTGTTCTATTGCTTAATTTTAATGGACCTTAAGAAGGGCAACTCGGAACTATATCCAGTGATGGTGTGCAAATCAGGCTCTTATGTAACCCACCCCAACTTCTCATTATAGCATTTCAGCTGGTAACTCGCCCTGGACTGTCTTCTTCCTAAAAGAGATTTTCACTTACAATGAGAAACTCCCTGTCCTGAGGGAGTTCCAGTAAAGCTCGTACTGTCTATTGCAGAAAACAAGGGATGGGGTTGTTGTACCTTGACCTCTTTTCGTACTTGCAAGTTACTGCTTTGGATTGAACTACTTGCCTTTCACCCCATTGCCCTTGGGTGAGCAAGTGTTGGCTACAGATGGCAACTAGCATTGGTGGAAGAAGGTGTGCTCTGAATACAGGCCATCCCTGACCCATGAGCAGCATTGGCATGGGAGATGTTGGAGAGGAGGGCATCAAAAACAAGGGATTGGATTTAAAATGGAGAGAGAGACTGAGGAGATGTGAAACAGGCTTGGAGGAAAGGGAGGCAAGCTGAACCCTTAATAGAAAAAGGAACAAAACAAAGGCAGGGCAGATTCCTGGGAGGGGAAGATAAGGGGCAGTAGGCTGCCACCTTCCACCGCTGCATTCATATCAGGGAGCCACGGTCCTCCTTGTCTGTCTCTGCTGCAGTTGTGACCAGAGCTGACAGGATCATATATTCCTAATATACCAGAGTGTAATGCAAAGCTCTCATATATGCCATGGCTCGACTCAGAGCCAGAGGTAGGAAGGAAACAGTCTCACAGCCCAGAGTTGTGTTGTACTGTTTGATGCTTCAGCTCAGGTTGGTGACAGTCTGAGCATCCTTGATGTCTTCTGCTCAGTGGAGAGTGGCCCAGGGGCTGCAAACTAATTTATTAATGGACCTGCTCAATGCAAATAGGAAAAAAAATAATTAATCTCTCTCTATTAATGGTCACTATAGAGCTGGCCAGCTCTTGATACAAATTAAAGGAGACCCAAAGTTATTTGATTTTACACTCTGCAGCAGCTGATCTGTTCCTGTGCTTAGGTTAGTTGGAGGTCAGCAATTTCAAAACTTTTTCCTTGTTACCCTCTCTTTCCCCCCCTCCCCCCACCCCTTTGCATTCCTCCACAGAAGGAGCAAAGTACAGCTATATCATCTTTGTCAAGAGAATTCTGGGCAATTTGGGGAAGGGTGACACTACGCTCATGTTTGGTGATGATAAAAGGGAGTGATTTTTAAGCAAAAGAAAAGAGAGAATGAAGAAAAGACAAGAAATGTGAATAAAACATGATCTTTATTTTTCCACTAACTTCCCCCCAGTAACCCCCACCTCAAAAGACCTAAGATCTAGGTGAAAGAACAAAGTGTCTGCAGGGCACAATGGTGCTCCTGCAGTGCTGCATTGCCCTGGCAAGGAGGAACCACAGAGTTGCTTTAGGTGAAGAAAAACTTTGGGCCACATTCAGGTGAAACATCAGCCTTTCCTTTCCATCCCCGATGTGCCTGAGCTGCTGACAAGCACTATTGTGTTTAAGAGGGAGAGGGAAAAGCAGAGCTGCTGGAGAAAGAACTCATTCAGGTCATGTCCATGCCACGGAGTGCATTTGAACAGAGTCCCATGGGTATGAATTGCTGAGCTCCATGCTTGACTTGGCAGGAGGAGTGGCAGAGGCAGGGCTGTGCTCAGCAAGGAGCAATTGGCACATTGGTATCTGCATGTGGTACGCCTGGGGCAGAGGTAAAGATCCATGCAGAGCAGAATTACAATCTGAGCACTCTGCAGCCAAGACAGCAACAGAGCTGGGAAATAGTGGTCTCTGGAACGGTTTGTGACGGTAGGACCACACCAAGGGGGAGGAGGAAGGGGAACATTAGCTGAATCAGCATCTCTTGTGAGTCAGAAGAAAAATTATTCCTGCCCCCCTGCCAGCACTTTGTGCAGATCCAAAATACCGTTCCCAGAAGAGTCCCTACGTATGTTAGCAGGAAGACAACTGTCTGCACACTTTGCAGCAAGAACAGCGTGGCAACTGATGCAGCACAGTGCTGTGAGCCTGGGGTAATGAATCTCCTGAAGGGAAAGCTGTGGAGTGCAGTGCTGACGGGCTTAATCTGCTGACTGCCAGAGATCAGAGATCTTCTTTCTGACTCCAGGGACGCCTGCCTGCAAGATCCATGACTCAAAGCAAGCAAATGACTAGCTGTAGTGTCAGGGTTATGTATTACAGCATCCCCTTTTGTGGGGACGGCAGGATGGAAAAACTACAGTTCCCAGCACCCTTTTGTGCATGTCCCTGAAACTACAGTTCCCAGAACCTTTTCATGAGCTGGGGAGGGTGTACATGGAAGTAATTGCTGAGGAATTTTGCATCACACCCCATACTTTCAGTGCGGCCAGCCCTCGGGTAAAAACCGAAACAGAGGAAAAGCCAGGGAGCACTGAGACTGTGGATTTGCCCACACCTAATAACTGCAACACAGGGCATCCTTCTCCTCCTGGTGTCTCACTGGGCAGACGCAGGGAGGATCCTTGCCCCTAAGGGAAACACGGCTGCTGCGGAAGGAGAGCAGACAAACTACAGATCCCAGCATTCCCTAGCAGGCAGCACCTGCGGCAGTCCCTGCATGCCAGGGGGAATGAGGATGTGGATGGAGGGCGGGGAAGAGATGAAGGGTGCTGTGGGGCTGCGCTGCACCTGGGACCCACCCCCCGTTGATGCCCAGGCCAAGTGGGTGAGGCTCAATGTGGGGGGCACCATCTTCCTTACCACCAGGCAGACCCTGTGCCGGGAGCAGAAATCCTTCCTGTGTCGCTTGTGCCAGGGCGAGGAGCTGCAGTCGGACCGGGTAAGGCAGCTGCATTGCCTCCTGCACCATGCCCCACTGAGCACGGGGAGGGCTGGAGCCAGACCCCAACAGCTGCAGGAGTAACCCAGAGAAAAATACCTTCGCTTTCTCCGCTATCCCAGAAAGAATTTTATCTTTCCAGTTACTGCCTGGCTGTGTTGTAGCCCAGCATCTAATTTCCCCACTTGGGGAAAAGCAAGGCTGTGTCCCCTCCGTCACCTCAGATGCCCTGGGGGTACCTCCCAGATGTAGCTGCCTGACTCAACCTTTTTCCCTAGGAGGGATCTCTGTTCCCTCACACCAGGCCTGTACACGTGGTTGCAGGAGCTTGAGGTCAGATTTTTGGCTTTCTAAGCTGGACTGGTCCATGCTGAGATGGACATTCTGAGCATAATAATGCAGGACTTAAAATCTGAGTGAAGTTATCTTGGCTATGGTCTTCTACAGAGATATAGCATATCTCAGGAGAGTGAATTGCAGATGGGTGCAGGCCAAGATGCCCCACATTTTTTCACCTCATGGTCTACCTCTTGTTGCTAGGATGAAACGGGTGCATACCTAATAGACCGGGACCCTACTTACTTTGGACCCATCCTGAATTTCCTCCGTCATGGGAAGCTGGTCCTGGATAAAGATATGGCTGAAGAGGGTGAGTCTTGAAGCTCAGAAGCTTCCCATTTAACCACTGCTGGAGCAGAACAGTAGAATTTGTAGTTGACTTCCTTGTCTTTCATTATCCTGAAGATTGGTGTGGGAGATTTGAGAAGGTCATCCTTGCAGCTCTTGGAAAGCATGTTTCCTTCACTAAGTGGGAATGGAGCAGGTGGAGAAGGCATCCTGCATGTACAGAGTCCTTATGGCTGTTAGTTGAGCAGAGGTGTCACTGAGATGGAAGCAGACTAGGTCTCTCATCCTTGATAGACTGTTTTGTTACTTGTTCCTGATACGCTTTTAACCAGGCTTTGTGACTGAGGTTTGTGTTAATGACTGAGTGTTTCTAATTAGGAGTGAAAACCCAGAAGACCAAACAGACCAACTGACTGTAATAAATCCCATAATTAATCAGTGACATGTAATGTATGCTAATAGTGCTCTGATGGGCTGTGGACTGCAGCAATTCCAGTGGAGCAAGCCAAACAAACCAATCCCTCATTTGATGTTGACAGAGTCCAATAGGATAACTCAGTAACATCATCATGGTGTTACGAGCCAGCAATCCCCAATGCCTCATTATTTTTTGGATGTTAGGGACTAACAAGCAGCCAATTTCAAAGACAGGCTGTGCTGTCCAGCCCTTGCCAAGCACGGTTGCTGCAGGTTCATTAGCCTTCTTGCCTCTCTTACATATTTTTACCAAGGAGTGTTTTATTCAGAGTCATTTTATGAGTTACAATGCAAAAAATATATCTAAGAAGTAGTACAGAATTGTAATAAGCACGATTCAGAGATGTTCCTTACTTATTGATTGTCACCCTGCGGTCAGACAGAGTTCAGCCAAGGCTTTTAACACCAGATCTGAAACGTAAACAGGAGTCTTGTTCTGTTCACAGCTTATCTGTTGCCTTTTGCTCCTGACACAGACAGGCTAGCATGAAACCAACCTGTTAGAGGGCTCACGGCTGAATGAGGGACTCTGAGTGGATCTGAGTCCTCAAGTAGGGAAGAATCAAACCCCTACCAGCACCGTCTGCATGCTGATTTGGGTACACGTGAATGTTGGTTCCTGGACTCCTTCCCTTCACTAACCCACTGAGAACCCACCTTCCTTTCCCTGATGACTTATTAGCAAGCAGGAGGGTCTCAGGAGAGGTGAAGGATGCAAACACCATGCAGAAAAATCAAAACAGTTCTCTATTTGCCTGCTCTGTGATGAAGCACAGGTGAGAGAAAAAAATTTTGAAATCATATGGGGATGCAACTGGGGACAAGCCAGAACAAATTGTGGTTCTCTACCTTCCAAAGAGGGCTGGAACAAAGTGATAACTAGTGGTCATGAGAGCATGGATCCTACATTTATTCTGCTTGGCCTGTAATCTGAAAGTCAATTTTGGACTCTCAGGGAAATCCTCCTCTTCCCTGGGAATATAACAGCAGAACTTGGCAACAACCTTCACTGTTCCTGTAATGGTAGACAGCATAAAGAAATTGGGGTGAGCAGTAGAACACAACACAAGAGGGCCAGTGCTCAATTCTCTGCAGTAAAGGTTTCAAGCAACAGGAACTTGTTAAAGTTCTGAGTAAGGCTTATGTATCATTTCACCCAAGGGACATAACCTTGAGAAGTATACTTAGAGTTGGTTCTTTTTGGCTTGTAAAACAATATGGCTGTTAACTTTGTGGTTTCTGTGTCATTCTTTCTTAGGGGTCCTGGAAGAAGCAGAGTTCTATAACATTGGTCCCTTAATCCGAATAATTAAGGGTCGACTGGAGGAGAAGGACTACACAGTGATGCAGGTATTGTGGGAAACAACAAGCAAAGATAGTGAAGGAAGGAGGAAATGCTTAAAAGGAGAATGAAATCTAAAGGGAGAGCAGGCGAGGGAGAGGCAGAAAGGAATGGAAAGAAACAACTAATTAGAGTTTATTGCTAATCTCTGTTTAGCAAAATCTTGCTTGGGGACAGGCTAACACCAATTTAGTCACAATAAACAAGTTCCACATTTGTTTTGCAGCTCCAGAGGTAGTGCTGGATGTAGCCTCTGAAACAAAATTGGCTTTTAGAAGAAGCCTGCTAGTTGCTGTAGTTGGCAACCCTGCACACAGCAGGGGAGTTGAAACTAGATGATCATTATGGTCCCTTTCAACCCAGGCCATTCTATGATTCAATGATTCTATGATTCTGTGTTTGTGGTGAGAGAGGAGGTGTTGAGGGAAGGACTACTCTGGTATGGGGAGTCCTGAGAGTGTAATCACAGTGAAGAATGTAGGGATACTTCTAGAGAAACCTGAAGGGAACAAGTGAAGAAATGTCCGTAGAAGAGAAATGCAGAAAATGAGGCACAAGAAATCAATCCCGTGGCACAGTCACACCTTGTCTTGGCTAATAACCTTTTCAAAACTGTCTTCTGGGAATCTTGACTGATATCTCACTTTTCATCATGTCTGCCCTAGGATGTAAGCCTCCAGCAATGCAATCACTCTGTGCTTGCAAAATCCCATCAATATTTGTGGCATTTGCATAAATGACTTTGTAATGACAAATGCAAACTCCCTGTTGGAAAGAGCCTACTGTCTTCTGAGGACATTGCATAAAGCTCTCAGCTGAGTTCCTTTTCTCCAAAAGTGATAGCATCGTTCTTGCTCCCCAGAACAGCACAGTACAAGGCTTGGTTGTGCCTTCCACCCCATCTTGAATCTTGGATATGGTGAGAAGGATAGGTTTGTAAAGAAGGGGTGCTACCTCTTCCTTCTGCAGATGGGCAGTGGCCTTTAGTATTTGACCTCTGTCAACATCCCTGTCTGCAATTTTTTCTGTCAGGTGCCTCCTAAACATGTCTACCGCGTGCTGCAGTGCCAGGAAGAGGAGCTCACTCAAATGGTTTCCACTATGTCTGATGGATGGCGCTTTGAGCAGGTATGGGGAGGATAGAGGAGGAGGGTGAGGAGCTGTCTTTTGGAACACAGATAGATGGCTGTATGGATGCCATACAGCCCCCAGGCAAGGTATCTTCCCTATCTGAGAATATTGGGTCGGTTGTTGATGATGCTGTCACACCTACCATCTCTTGCCTCTTTTCTTGAAGCTTAGAGGACATTCCCTGTTTTCTGCACTTGCTCAGCCTAGTTATAAGGCCTTTCTACTGGGGGCGGGGGCTGGAGTCCTGCTGTGTAGCAGGCTTCCTCCTTTACTCCCTAGGTGAAGTGGAAGCTTGCAGTAACATGTTTGTTATCACTTCTTTTGTCTTCTCCAGCTTGTGAACATTGGCTCGTGCTACAACTATGGGAATGAGGATCAGACAGAGTTCCTGTGTGTGGTCTCCAAGGAACTGTACAACTCTTCCAGTGGTCTGAGCTCTGAGTCCAGCCACAAAGCCAAGGTGAGACCAACTTCACTATGGCCTTCCTCCTATTGCTTATGAAACAATTTGCTCTTGTCACCCCCTCTTCCTTTCTTCTCTCCGCTGTGACTGTGGAGCACTCAGTAGTGAAATAGATGGTGATATACAGGGGCTTTATGACATTACACCACGACATTACACCAATGGCCCAAAAAAAGGAATGTGTATGTTCAAGTAGTGATGCCTGGCTGTGTGTGCCAAATAGCTTTACCAAGTGACCCTGGCACTTCTCATGCTTCTCTAAAATCTTCCTCATACCTCCTCATGACCATGCTGTGTGATTTCCCCAAGGTTTCTGCAGCATTCTCATTCTTTTTTGAGTCCCATCTAAGTGACAGGAGGTCACTTTCTCCCCTTTGAAGGGAGGAATGGGAAAATGTAGTGTTGCATAACATCGTGTAGACACCTAGATAGAAGAAGGAGCACTAGAAACTGATGGAAGCTGTTGGGCAGTGGGATCACAACACTTGTAAGAACAGCCCTTATATGTTGCTCTATAAGAAAAGTCTCTTTGCCCTCTGACCCAGCGCTGTCTTGGCTGTGGGAAAATGTCCCTTTCTATTTCAGCATCATGATCATTGCTTTATTCACTTGTGTATCAGCAAGAACTTCCATGGCTCATCTGGCAAGTGTCTCCACTCTTTCTTCCCTTTGTCCTGCATGCTGGCCTGCAGAGCGCAGAGGAGGACGTGGAGGAAGAAGAGCAGGAGATGGAGGAGGAGGCAGAGGCAGAAGCAGAAGAGAAAAGTGCAGCAAATCCTTGAGGAAAAAAATAGACTAACCCCCAGGCATAGATTCATCCACCTTTCTGGTGAGAATTCACAGCTAGCAGCAGGGAAGAACTAGGGCAAGTGTGGGGTGGAGGGGACGTCCTCCCAGGGAGCAGGAGTCTATCTGCAGATAAAGCTTGTAGGGAGGGGTTGTTACCTTGGCTGCTGCTTTACGTTTTTAACTGTTTGGTTTATTTATATTTTTATTTGCAGACTGTCCATGTACTGGACACTCCCTCCTGCTCCCCTTCATCTCCATCTCTGCACTGTCACCTTCCTGGGACACCCTACCCCATTCCCCAGCCTCCAGAATTGTCCCCTCTGCTCTCTTTGCCCCTCACAGCCTCCTTCCAGCAGACCTGGTTCCCCTCTCCCCTTCCAAACCCAAGATTCTGTTTGTTCCCTCCTCAGGGCCCCATCTCTCTGTTCCTCACTTTTCCTACTCTGCAGGTATGTTACCTATATGCACTCTCAGATCCTGCCAGTTTGAGCTCTGCATGAGTGACTCACATCCTTCCTTCTTGTGGATAAAGTCCTGGTTTGTAAAGCTTGGGGAGGGGGAGAAGCAATGGGAGGTTGAGTCATTTCAAAGGTGGCTTTTCTGATTCTCATCATACATGTGCCTTCACTTGCCAAGCAGTTCTTCCAGCTCTGGGCTGGAGGCTCTGGAAGCAGCAGGAAAGGTGCAATCAGGAGTAAGGAGGAGGGTGAGGAAGAATGGGGAAGAATGCAAAGCAGGCAGGGATGGCACAGGGGAATGCCTGCCATGTGGCTGCCTGCCATGCATGCCAGATCACTTCTCCTGATTGCCATCCATTCTTGCAGCTCCTTTGCCCTGCTCTGCTCATGCTTCCCTTGACATTGCAGTGCCAGAGGGTGCTGAAGGTGCAGTGGAAGCTGTGGGTCCCTGCTCCAGATGTTCCTACAGCTGTGCTTGGAAGGGACCTCTGCTTTGCCTCCTACTGAGGCTTCCCATCTGCAGCTGAACAAAGAAAGCTTTCATAGGAGCACCCCCCTCTCTAGCCAGAAAACAGATTTCTTGTTGAACTGGTGGTGCTCAGTGCCACTTTCCATCCTGGTGGGGGGCACTTGTTAGCTGGATGGCATTTCTCACTTCCCCTGTTCAAGAGCCTCCTTGTTGGTGGCTATGAGACCCGAGTGTTATTCTCTCAAAAGGCAGTGTGTGTTAATCAGACTTCTCCCTTATTTTTCTCTTTTCACCCCACCCTCAATCCTCTTCCTTTCCTTCTTCTTTTCCCTCTCCCTTTCTTTCTTCTTTTTCCTTTTCCTTTTCCTTTTCCTTTTCCTTTTCCTTTTCCTTTTCCTTTCCTTTCTTTATATCTTGTTTCCTCTGTCATGTGCTCTTTCCCTTTTTCTGTTTCTTGCCCTCTTTGATCTGGTTTCTCTCTCTCTCTCTCCTTCTCTAGCAGTTACAAGCCAGAGGCCTGAGGATGTGATCCTGAATCTGCACTCCAGCCTTTTAATTTCTGCTTGATATCTTTATTTTTGTACGGGAGCAAATGGCAGCCCCCTGTGCCGCAGTGACACCCGCAGCCCCCTTCACTCTCCACACTCAGCTGTTGACTTTTACAAACTCATATCTGCCCGGAGGAGGGCAAATGCTCCAAGGAGAGCTGCAGGAGCTGGAGCCCCATCCTTTTCCTAGCAGAATGGCTTTCTTTAATGTCACAGTGGCCCCTGCTGGGGACATCAGTAATCAACCACTGCAGAACTTTGCTTCCTTCCTGAGCACTGGTGCCCAGATGTGGCAGCATTTGCACTAGGACCACTCCTTGTCCATTCACAGTTGCAGGCAACTGGTCTGGGCTTTTGCCCAGAGGGCAAATGCAGAGACGCTGTTGGTTTTTTTTGTTTTTTTTTTTTGTTTGTTTTTTTTTCTTTCTGGGCCACCTGCATTGCTGGTGGAGTATCCCTGTGCTGGGTTTCTCCTTGCTGGTATCTCACTCCCTGTCCCCCTAAACATCTCTACATTGGATGGGTGAATGGAGGCAGGTGTATGCTGCCTGAGTACCTGTTGGGGATGTGTTGGTACCTGACAGAAGGTCTGGTAGGACAGGAGCATCCCTGCCTCAGAGAGCCAGGGGTTCACTTCACCACTGTGTCTGAAGATGCCAGGTTGTAGCTCCTAAATAAATCTCACACTTTCTTCCTCCTTGCTGCCTCTCATTCCAAGTGGTAGAAATTTGGCGCTGGGAGGCTGGACGAAAGGATCACCTGGAGCCGTCAGAAGTTGAGCCTGACTACTGGGCACAGGGATATCTCCTGCTGCATTTGTGCTGCATCTCCATGCAGGTGGAACTACAGAGCAGGTTTGCTAATCGCTGTCCACACCCCTAAGCTGTAATGATGAAGACTGCCTATCTTGATGACATGTTGACCCTGCTGTGTCTGGGACATAGCTGGGAGGGAGGGCAGGAAACTTGCACCAGTTTGCCAGTGCCAGGATTGGAGTTTGGCCAAAAAGATTCAAACCCCAAAAGAATTTGTAACAGAATAATCATAGAATCATAGAAGTTGGAAAAGAGGACTAAGATTATCTAGTCCAGCCACCAGCCCATCCCCACCATGCCCACTGACCACATCCCTTAGTGCCACATCCACACAGCTCTGGAACACCTCCAGGGATGCTGACTGCACCACCTCCCTGTGCAGCCTGTGCCACTGCTGGACCACTCTTTCTGGGAAAAAAAATTTCCAAATACCCAACCTGAACCTCCCCTGGTGCAACTTCAGGCCATCAGCTCTCATCCTAACTAGTAGACTATAATAAATCAAATTAAAGCAAAAAAAAAAAAAAAAAAAATCAAATTATTTTTATTTCCAGAGTGGCCATGTTATATATATACATATACCTACTTATGCATATATATATATGTGTATGTATGTATGTGTATCGTCAGTAAAAAACAGCTAAACCCATAGCAGTCACTTTCCAAAGCACTGTGCCCCTAAGCCTTCTCCTTCACCTCCTGCATTATCTGAGTTAGGATTCTGAAGCAGCTGAGAATCCCTCATGTTGAAGGTGTTCAGAAGGGCTGAAGGGAGAGAATAGGAGGGACGCTCTAATAGTTTCACTGCAGGCCTGGGATCTCCTGAGGGGCTCCAAGAGCAGCAGCTGGGTGCTGTTCCAACAGGGAGGCAGGGCATGATGCTGAACTTGTGTATGAGAGTCAGTGAGACGTGAAGAGTTGCCTGGCGGAGCTGAACAGCACACACCAGCTAAGAAAATAAGCAATTAGGAAGATGGAAGAGGAGGAGTGATGGGAGGGGAAGGGGGAAGAAGAATGAGCAGCAGGAAGGAAGAGGGAGGGAGATTGATTTCACAGTTACTGGAATCTCTAACTACATCAGTCACATTTTCTTTCAGCAGACGTTCCAGCGTAAGACTGTGGCTGAATCACATGGTTCATGGAAAGTTCAGCTCTTCTTGTACACGGCTGTGCCTGCTTTCCTCTGCAGTCCCCAGTGCAAGCTTTTGTGTTTTTCTTTTCACCCTTCTCAAAAGAGCATCCTGGGGCTGACAACATCCCCTACAGAAACTCTCTTACTTTGAGAGGCAAATGAGCAAGGTTGGGAATGAGTGCCGTTGTGACTGTAGATCTGATAAGGAGAAAGTAGAGGTGCATGTTTCTCAGCTCATGGTTTGGTTTATCCAGCCCAGAACTTGTGTGATCCTCGTGTACACTCCATAGTAATTTGGAAGCCCGCACCCCATTCCCCAGCTGACCAAGCCAGCCAGAAACCATCTGCCACTGGGCTCCTCACAGGCCAGTGGACCTCCAGAATCACCCTAGAGAAAGGGAGAGAAAAATAGTGTGATGGTGACCCACTGGCTTCTCCTACTATGTGTTCTTCATTGGCTTCGAAGTCCCTGTGCACATATCTCCTCAACTTATGTCTACACCATTCACAACATCCCTTATGCCTTAGACAGATGTCAAAACTGTCTCCTGCTCAAACATCTGATGTATTGCTGCATTCTTTCATCATGCAAATCCCTCCCCCTTAGCCAGCTCCCAGGCAGCTGGCAGATCTATTGTTTCCTTCTGCTCTGAGGCATTTGCAAATACATTGAGAGTGAGGAAGCTGGTGGAATTTAACAGGATATCCTGAGTGATGGGAAACAGGAATTGCTTGAGATTGATTTACTGTAATGAAGGAACTGACTGGTTACTGTGTCTGACAGATGCTAGTGAAAAGAGAGGGGAAGACTGATGTAGACATGTGACTTTGAAGGGGGAGGTGAAGAGTGGAAAATAAGCTGGAATGAGAAACTGAGAAGTTTCTGTGTATTTGGATCCTGTCTAAGGCAAAAATACTGGGAAGAAGTTGTCCTGTGAGCTGTTTTAGGCCACTGAGGAGTAACTGGGAAGTCAGGTGTTTGACAGTCAGT